CAAGGTCTGGGGGGTCCTGGGGGGGTCCTGGGGGGGGTTCAAGGGGTCCTGGGAAAGTTTGGGGGGATCCTGGGGGTCACTCAGGAGGTCCTAGGGGGGTTTTGGGGGTCCTGGGGGTCACTCAGGTTGTTCTGGGGGGTTTTGGGGGTCCCGGGGGTCACTCAGGAGGTTCTGGGGGGGGTTTTGGGGGTCCTGGGGGTCACTCGGGGGGGTCCTGGGAAGGTTTGGGGGGCTCCTGGGAAGGTTGTGAGGGAGGATCCGGGGGTGCCGTGGGGCTGAGGAGGATTTGGGGCTCCCCCATTCTCCCAGACCGATCTCTACATGTGGAGGGGGGGGGTGACACAGAAGAGGACACCTGGGCGCGACCCCCGTGACACCCGCGACCCCCGTGACCCCCGTGACCCCCGTGACCCCTCCCCAGGACATGGCGGGGCTGCTGACCCCCGCGGCCGCGCGGCTGCTGGTGGGGGCCCTGCGGGAGCAGCACCCCGAGGTGCCCCTGCACGTCCACACCCACGACACGGCCGGCGCCGGCGTGGCCTCCATGCTGGCCGCGGCCCAGGCCGGCGCCGACGTGGTGGACGTGGCCGTGGACGCCATGTCCGGCATGACCTCCCAGCCCAGCATGGGCGCCGTGGTGGCCTGCGCGCGGGGGACGCCGCTGGACACAGGTGGGGACAGCCGCGGGTGGGGGTGGCACCGAGGGGTGGAGGGACACCGAGGGGTGGAGGGGACACCAAGGGTTTGGAGGGGACAATGAGTGTTTGAGATGTCACCAAGGGTTTGAGATGTCACCAAGGGTTGGAGGGGACACCAAGGGTTAGAAGGGACACCAAGGGTTTGGAGGGGACAACGAGGGTTTGAGATGTCACCAAGGGTTGGAGGGGACACCAAGGGTTAGAAGGGACACCAAGGGTTTGGAGGGGACAACGAGGGTTTGAGATGTCACCAAGGGTTGGAGGGGACACCAAGGGTTAGAAGGGACACCAAGGGTTTGGAGGGGACAACGAGGGTTTGAGATGTCACCAAGGGTTGGAGGGGACACCAAGGGTTAGAAGGGACACCAAGGGTTTGGAGGGGACAACGAGGGTTTGAGATGTCACCAAGGGTTGGAGTGACAATGAGGGTTTGTAGGGGACATCAAGAGCTAGAGGGACAATCAGGGTTTGAGTGGCCACCAAGGGTTTGGAGGTGTCACCAAGGCCTTGAGGAGCCACCACGGTTACGGTGATGCCACCACAGCCCTGGATGTGCCACCACTACCACGGTGTCCCCACCTTGTCTCTGTGGTGTCCCTGCAGTGTCCCCGCAATGTCCCCACAGTGTCCCCACCATGTCCTTGCAGTGTCCCCATGATATCCCCACGCTGTCCCCTTGGTGTCCCCTCAGTGTCCCTATGGTGTCCCCTTGGTGTTCCCACCATGTCCCCTCAGTGTCCCCTCAGTGTCCCCATGGTGTCCCTGTCCCCTCAGTGTCCCCTCAGTGTCCCCATGGTGTCCCTGTCCCCTCAGTGTCCCCACGATGTCCCCACGGTGTCCCCATGATGTCCCTGTCCCCTCAGTGTCCCCTCGTGTCCCCAGGCATCTCTCTGGAGCGCGTGTTCGAGTACAGCGAGTACTGGGAGGTGTCCCCATGATGTCCCTGTCCCCACTATGTCCCCTCAGTGTCCCCACCATGTCCCCACGGTGTCCCCACGATGTCCCTGTCCCCTCAGTGTCCCCTCAGTGTCCCCATGGTGTCCCTGTCCCCTCAGTGTCCCCACAATGTCCCCGTGATGTCCCCTCGTGTCCCCAGGCATCTCCCTGGAGCGTGTGTTCGAGTACAGCGAGTACTGGGAGGTGTCCCCACAGCGTCCCTGTCCCCTCAGTGTCCCCATGATGTCCCTGTCCCCTCAGTGTCCCCTCAGTGTCCCCTCAGTGTCCCCTCGTGTCCCCAGGCATCTCCCTGGAGCGCGTGTTCGAGTACAGCGAGTACTGGGAGGGGGCGCGGGGTCTCTACGCCGCGTTCGACTGCACGGCCACCATGAAGTCGGGGAACGCCGACGTGTACGAGAACGAGATCCCGGGGGGGCAGTACACCAACCTGCACTTCCAGGCCCACGCCATGGGGCTGGGACACAAGTTCAAGGAGGTCAAGAAGGCCTACACCGAGGCCAACAAGCTGCTCGGGGACCTCATCAAGGTGGGGTGGCCCTGGGGGCTGCAGGGGCGTGGTGGGGCTGGGGGGTGTGGCGGGAGGTGGTGTTTGTGGGGTGGGTGGTGTCCAGGTGGTCTCCATGGAACAGGTGGTCTCTGGGGTTGGGTGGTCTCCAGGTGGTGTCCATGGGGTAGGTGGTGTCCATGGGGTGGATGGTGTCTGTGGGGTGGGTGGTGTCCATAGGGTGGGTGGTCTCCAGGTGGTCTCCATGGAGCAGGTGGTGTCCATGGGGTGGATGGTGTCTGTGGGGTGGGTGGTGTCTGTGGGGTGGGTGGTCTCCAGGAGAAGGTCTCTGTGGGGCAGGTGGTGTCCATGGGGTGATCTCCATGGGGTGGGTGGTGTCCATAGGGTGGGTGGTCTCCAGGAGGTCTCCATGGGGCTGGTGGTGTCCAGGAGAAGGTCTCTGTGGGGTGGGTGGTGTCCATGGGGTAGGTGATGTCCATGGGGCAGGTGGTGTCCATGGGGCAGGTGATGTCCATGGGGCAGGTGATGTCCATGGGGCAGGTGGTCTCTGTGGGGCAGGTGGTGTCCATGGGGTGATCTCCATGGGGTGGG